TAATTAGTTAATGCTTGAATTTTGCGTTTTGAAACTTGAAAATTGAATCGTGCCATAGTTGACACTTGACATTTGAATTTTTCCATAGGGAAATTATATTTTGAATCTGAGCTAAATTAAATAAAATAATTTGGTTTATTTAAGATAAAAAAAAAATTAGGGAGATTGAGTTCCTCACCTAGAAGCGAGAATCAAATCAAACCGACGGTTCTCGATTTAAATATATGTTATGGTATTTAACTTAAGAAGAACTGTTCGATTCGATTCAGGAGTTTTGTCCAACCCTACTTTAATTGGTTGTTAAGAATAGTGATGGCGTTATTAGGGATCAAAGTTTTTTTTCTTTTATTTTTTTTAAAATTTTTACTTTTTTCTCACAGTTTACTCGTAAAGATATCTCTAATTGATGACGAGTTTGGACATCCTGATGAGGTATGTCCTGTAGTCCAACCTCAAATTCATTGCTTTTTTGACAATTAAGCATTTTTACTTAACTTTGGTGAGGGTCCACGCTTGGTTCGAGGTGACGACTTAAAGATTAAATGCCAATAAATGAAATCTTTTACATCACAATGCTCTATTCGACTATACAATTCCTTTCTTCCTTATAGCATGATTGGTACAGTTTAAAATTCAATTAAAATCAATTTTTTGATCATTATTTCACTATTTCAGTCGTTATTTTTTAATTCTTCTCTCATAAGTAAGACCCACTTTATCTTTAATAGTCAAAAAATCAATTAACAAAATCCCTACCAAATAAACACTTAATTTATAAACAATTAACGAAACACAAAGAGGATCCAAAGCAAATGTGAACATGTGATGTTGATTATAATTGTAAGACAAATTTGGCTTGTTGCGGAACATTTTTTTTTTTTTTTCCAAATATTACTTATTAGAGCGTTAAATTGTTGGACTTTTCAAAACATACTCATCAAAAAATTTCTGTAGTAGTTTTTCTTTCATAATGACTAATCGATGAAAGCCATCTTATCATTTTCATGGCAATTTATTATTTTGCCTTACGAAAAATGTCAAAAGCAATTCATTTTACCAGTTGAAAAAACTAATAATCATTTTTTTTTAACCTGTCTTATTTTCTCCGTCGAAATTCAATTAGGTTTCTCTTTTAGGCTACGGAACCTATCTTTAAAGCCAACGGTTCTAGCTATTAAAATCGTAAAAAATAATTTCATCTAATACCACCCATAGAATTTGATTAATCTCCTAGTCCGATCGATCAAACAACAACGACAATCGACCTAAGTAATTCGAACCCAATAATATTTAAGTTCTCTCCCTTTCCATAAAATTGGGTGCCTTTTCAATCCCTAAATTCTAAGCTTAAAAAAATGTCTTATAATTCAAATATTTTTTCATTGGTTTTCCAATGTAGGACAAATGTTAACCAAATTCAATCAAACTCTTACCCTTTAAAGTTGAAGCGATGACTTTGAATCAAAATATTTCATTCATAACTTAATGCTTTTTAACAAATAAATATATCATATTAATAATATTGCAGAGCATAACATGAATATACTCGTTCCCTTTAATTTCAAAGTTTGAATCCACTTAAAATTGAGCTCAAAGTAGGTCACTAAAGATCTTTTTTCAACGATTTTGACTTATATATATTTTTTTCCCTTGAACTCTATGGAAAAATCATTCATAAAAGAAACAAGATAGATACAATCTATATAATTATGGTGATTATTATTTACACGGCAAGTTGATTAGGGATCTAATTCTTCAAGGTGGCCCATATATTTATTGTCTTTAAATTTCTTCTCATCCCTATATACTTAGAATATGCTTTGTTAGCCATCTCTTCTTATCCTATTATGAGCACATATAATTATATGTTCTACGAATTTTATTACATTTTTCTTGATTATTCTTACAAGATTATTGGTCATGGGAAATTGTCTTAGAAGCAGCTCTGTCTCTACCTCAAACAGGGAAGCAATATCTTTACCCATTGACGCCATTTTCAAGCTTCCTTCTCCATTGCCCTCTTGGCCATCAGGTTCTTATATCGAACCTCTTTTTCTTCTTTTATATCAATGAGCATTGTATAGTGATCCTCGCATTATGCAGGTGGTGACTTTGCTAGTGGTGAGATCGACCTTGGAGGACTCCAAGTGCGCCAAGTATCGTCTTTCAACAAAGTTTGGTCGACGTTTGAAGGTGGACCAGACAACCTTGGTGCAACGGTTTTCGAGCCGTCCGACGTACCAGATGGATTTTCGATGTTTGGTTGCTATGCACAACCGAATAACCAACCACTTTTTGGTTGGGTTTTGGTGGGAAAAGATGATTCAGGTGACATTTTGAAGAAACCAACTGATTATACTCTAGTTTGGACTAGTGAGTCCTTGAAAATCAGCCAGACAGACCAAGCCTATTTTTGGCTCCCAACGCCACCAGATGGTTATGTAGCCGTCGGTCTTGTCATCACCACCTCCTCGGATAAGCCATCCATCGAAAAAATCCGATGTGTTAGGACCGACTTCTCCGACGACTGTGAGACTGATAACTGGATTTGGGCACAAGGAACAGAAAGAAGTGATAATGAAGTCAATTTCTATGGTTTAAGACCACAGAACAGAGGAACCCAAGCTCAAGCTTTAAGTGTAGGGACATTCATCATCCAAGACGATGACTCTTCTTTATCTTTATCGTGTTTAAAGAACAACAATTTCCCCTCGTCTTCTATGCCAAATCTTAAACAAATCGAAGCATTATTTGAAACATATTCTCCATTTGTTTACTTTCACCCCCAAGAAATTTACCTTCCCTCTTCAGTTAACTGGTACTTCAACAATGGAGCTTTACTGTATACAAAAGGAGAAGAGTCAAACCCTGTTCCAATTGAACCCAATGGTTCCAACCTCCCTCAAGGTGGCTCAAGTGAAGGCTCGTACTGGCTGGACCTTCCTGTTGATGAAGATTCTAAGGAAAGAGTAAGGAAAGGAGATTTAGCCAGCTCCGAGGTTTATCTCCATGTCAAACCCATGTTCGGTTCAACTTTTACTGACATAGCAATGTGGATATTCTATCCGTTTAATGGGCATACAACAGCTAAACTTGGACTGTTCGACATTTCATTGGGGCATATCGGCGAACATGTGGGGGACTGGGAGCATTTAACTCTCCGAATCAGCAATTTTGATGGGGTTTTATACAAAGTTTACTTCGGACAACATAGTGCAGGCACATGGATCGATACATCAATGGTTGAATTTCACACCGGCAACAAAATCGTCGCATATTCAGCATTAAACGGCCATCCATTTTATCCTGTACCAGGGCTTGTATTACAGGGAGTTGGTGATATTGGATTAAGAAATGACACTGCAAAAAGTGATATTTTTATGGATACTGGAGGTGGGTTTTCAATAGTGGCGGCGGAGAATCTTGTTCCGGCAGTGGTGGAGCAGCCGTGGTTGAATTATGATCGAGAATGGGGTCCGATAACTGCGACTAAAGTTGGGGATGAAGTGAATAGGTTGGAAAATTTGCTGAGTGGGGACCTGAAACCTTCATTTGAGAGGGTGGTGAATTTACTGCCTGATGAAGTTTATGAAGAAAAAGGTCCATTGGGTCCCAAGATGAAGAGTAGTTGGAATGGCGATGAAAGATAAATGTAAATTTAGATTTTTTATTTTATTTTATATAATGTTCAATTTGATTTGATTTATATTTAGTTTTTTCGACGATTTTAATGTTCTTTTCTTTATGTGATATTATTAATCTAGTAACATAGTCGACTCAACCTCTAATCAAATTATAACTCTTGTGGTCCTTTGTCGACTAGGATCACAAGGCGGGGTTTATCTAGTGCGCATTTTTGGGTAGCGGCTGTGGGTTCCCTTGTCAAAAAAAAAAAAAATTATAACTCTTGAGGTTGTCTAGGGCCATATTTTTAAGACGCTCAAATTTTAAAATTCTCATTTCGTATATTTTATTAACAAAAAATCTTATTCCACTTTGATAATTCGTAATTACATCATGCATGATGCATTTATTTATTCTCTTTTAAATTCATACGCATGTTACTTATCGAATATATATTCTCATGACATCTCACATTGTTCTTGTACAAGTTGATTTTCTTCCAAATTTAAATAATCAAGCATCCAATTACCTAATTTAATATAAAATAAACATATACAAAGAATCAATATTATAAAAACTTAGACTCGTCAATTCAATCAAAATAATGGCCACTAGTTAAAAACTGAATAATTAGAAAATATTAAAAGTAATTTAAGAAGTTATTCAAAATCGTGTTCACTTCAAAATTAGCTAATTCAAAAAAAAATTCTTCGACCTACTTTTGTTCCATTTGACATTTTTTACTTTCTCTTAAAAGTTCGAAATTTCGAACCAAATTAATCTTTTCAGTTAATAAAAAGATTAAAAAAATCGTTTTACGCTTTTTAAAGTTGGTCAAATTATGGTCGAAAGATGATTTTTACGAATTTTTAGATGAAAATCATCTCGAGATCTTTTCATCGTACCAATTTGAAAGGTTTGAATCAATCATGCTACAAATCAAAATTTGGATAATATCTATACAATTTTGAATTTTTTTTAACAATTATCACATTTTTATACTTTGTACACTCACTTCGATTGATACTTTCTTTGTATTTGATGAAGCTACCAAACACCTGGACTGTTGACTTTTAATTCAATGCAAAAATATCTTCCCAAACGACAGCCCAAAATTATGGACAAAACGCACAACATAAATACCTAAACAATCTGATCCGATTGGTTTGTTTAGCGAAAACTCCGATCACCGGGTAAAATTCCGGTGCCGGAGATTTACCCGGTGAAATTATAGTAACCCATGGATTCCCCAGAGATTCGTGAGGAAGAGCTGGAGAAAATGAATAAAAATAGTCTCGGTTACAGAGTTTTCCGTTCCTGTTTTGCCCTTGCCTTTTGTGGACTGTTGACTTTTAATTCAATGCAAAAATATCTTCCCAAACGACAGCCCAAAATTATGGACAAAACGCACAACATAAATACCTAAACAATCTGATCCGATTGGTTTGTTTAGCGAAAACTCCGATCACCGGGTAAAATTCCGGTGCCGGAGATTTACCCGGTGAAATTATAGTAACCCATGGATTCCCCAGAGATTCGTGAGGAAGAGCTGGAGAAAATGAATAAAAATAGTCTCGGTTACAGAGTTTTCCGTTCCTGTTTTGCCCTTGCCTTTTCTCTTTTAACCTTATTTTTGTTGTTCTTTTGCTTGCTTTATTTGGCTGTATTGATCGGGAATTTGTCTATTTGGAATCCCGTTTCTGTGGCTTCCCGGTGCAAAATTGTATCCAGCAGTAAGTGATTGTTGTTTACTCGATTCTTCTTTTCTTTACGCATTTATTCACTATAGTAGTTTAATTTTTCTGAAATTGATTATGGGACCTGCTTATTAGTTGTTAATTTGTAGAGAAACGGAAAGAATTTGAGCTTTGGATATTGCTAATATTTGCGCAGTGAATTGTCCAAATAAAAGTGCTTTTGAATTTTGGTATAATTTTACCAAGCGTTATTATAGAATTCATTTGTACACCATTTTGATTTTCAGTTAGTCCTTTAAAAGAACTAAAAATTTCTTGCATGCATGATTGTGCTTTGCAGAAGACTTTTGCTGCCATTGTACTGTATACAAACCTTTTAGGATAAGTTCTTTGCATGTGAGAAACTTGAGTTTGAACCTAATTTTTATGAACTTCTGAGAGTGTTCCTGCTCTGTATATTGCCGAAATAATATAATTACCATTTTGTCTTACCATGAGTCAAATATTAGTTGGTCTATTAGGCTAGATCTAGGATTTCTATGCAATATAATTTTTTCCCCCTAATTTGGAACACACAACTTAGATGTTAGAACATAGGTACAAGAAACGTCCATTTACAAGGCAGTGTTGGAGATAGAATTTGAATGAATATAGGTGGTTTCTCTATAACAACTCGAGCTTTAGACAATGTTATTAACGTAATGAGCTATGTTTTAAAGATTTGACTATATCGAAATGTTTTATTCTACGTGTCCATATCATCTTGTATCCTTTTTTCTGGGAAAATACCGTGTTCACATGTTTGTATTTTGTTGTGTCCATGACCTTATTCCGTGTTTATGCTTCTTATATTTGGTGTGTAAACTATAAAATAATATTTACAAGGAAAAATTATACATAATGCTTTTATGGGAAATTGGGTGGGTTTAGTTAGTGTTCACATTAAATCAAAATGGAAGAGGTCGTCATAAGATAATAAAATGAGGTAATCAAAGAGGATTTTAATCTTCCTGATTTATCTTTTGTGATGGTTGTCTTCCCGAATATGCAAACATGGTGCTTTTTTAACGCTATCTAGAATGTAACTTTAGGAAGCAATAAAGTTTCATGTCAAGAGGTAGAGTTAGAGGTAGAGGTAGAGGTAAACGCGCTTGGGCATGACAGTTGCCAAAGGATAATATCACCTCTCAATGTTGAAAAGTGTTCCCATTAATTCTATTTGTTCGACTTCTAAAAGTAATTCTGTTGCTTGGAATCTTAAAAGCATTTTCAATATTTTAAGGAAGTATATCTGATTTATCTTCCTTGTTATTCATCATTGAGAGTGTTTTTGTGAAGCTTCATTCTCGAATAGAAGGTCATGGGAGTTGGGTATGTTGGCCTTCTTTTGCGAAGCCTGTATCTAAGCTCCTATTAAATTTTTAAGCTTTCAGTTATCTGAATTGTCCACATTTATTTGGAAATCTTAACCGTATCTTGCTTGGCTATTTTCTTAAAGGAGGATTAATATATATGATTTAATGAAAAAGAAATGTCTTCATTATCTGTTTCTCTTTCATGTGTAATGTGTAAGAGGAAATCAGAATGTGTTGATCATTAATTGTTGCACCATGTTGGTAGATTTTGGCACTGCAACTCGTTGTAAGAAACTGGATTTGAGTGGGTTGTCTGTTAAAGGTGTAACGGATTATCTCAGCGGAGAATATTACCATTTGAGATTGTTGCCTTTTATTTTAAAAGTATGTATGAGAAGTGTTCATAAGCAGTTTAAATTTATAAATTGATAGAAGTGAGTTGTGGAATAGTGGGTCCCATGAAATGTATGGATATAAAAGTGATTTGACTGTTTATAAGCAGTTTGTAAACATCAGCCAAACATAAGCTAATTCATTATTTTTGGGAATAAACAATTTAGGTCACCTTGCCTTCTATTTCAGTGCCGCAGATGTCTAATGTATTGTGATTTGAAAAATCAGCTGCTCATTTATTCTTCATCAGTAACTTGAATAGTTTGACGCATCCTTTTCTCTAATGAATAATTAATTAACTTGGCTAGTTTCCGTAGAGCCTGGATATTTATTTCAATCTCAATTTCTTGCCCTTATGACTAGCGATACATAATTTCCCCCCGCTTAGGACTTTACTTCGGTGAACTTGCCTTTTTTGTATCTTCTTTTATCAAGTTATTAATGTTTTCTTTAATAAAACTGAGAGTCAATAAAGCAAGAGCAGGTAAAATATTCGTGTCATTATTTTCTGCTATATCATTTAACTGCCCATTGGAGGCTTTATTATTAATGTCAGCACAGGGACACTGATGTATACATCTTCTCAGGTGTCGATCTTAGGTCAACTAAGGTCTGTGAATTGGGATTGTTAAATTATAAAGCAAAGCATGTGTTCCATCCACGTGAGAGAAAGAAATATCGATGTCATTATGATTACTACTGGGCTTCTATATTTGAGGTGATCATTGCTACTTCTTCCTCAAGTTACGAACTGTATTCCTCAGACAAGTTTCTTGTACTGTTGGCTGAATTCAGCAACTTTGATTCTCATTCATTGAAATCATCTGTTTGGTTCATAATTACTAGGTAATTTAGTGGAAACTAATTTTTTGCTAAAACCAAGTACTTGTGTAAGACGTAATGTTATGAGGTAATTTCATAATGTTTATGTTACTGAAAGAGGTCAGCAAGTTTGGGTTCTGCTTACTGCTGCACACCTTTGAAGTTTTGGGGACTTGGTGGTTCAGCTTATTAGGATTTAACAGTGCTAGGAACTAAAGATTGGTTGTTATTTTTCCTTCTTACTAAGATATCATGCTACCAAGAATTCGAAAAACGCGTTTGATATGACAGCTTGGTAGTCTAGAAAATTGGTGGACCTTTTATTCTACATTGAGTCTCCTTGTCTAGGTTTGAGCTGCCAAATTTACGTGTCTATCTATCTTCCTGTTCGGCCTCTCCTTGAAGTTATGTGTAGCAAGCTACGCTGTCGCTCTTATCTGTAACTGAATATGCTTGCAATATAAATTATATCTAATTTTTTTTAACTGGACTTGTTCCCTGTTCAAATAAGTTTTTAGCATTTTCTTTGTTGTTTTTAGAAGGATATCGATGGCTAATAGTTTTACAAAATGTAACTGCTCTACTACTTGCTGGACATCTACATTGCTACTATAACCTTTCAAAATCTACTTCAGATTTGCAATTGAAAACTTAAAATATCCATGGTGAGATTTATGTCGAATTAGTCACATAACCTTTTCTAAGTCAAATTACGATTCATGGTGCCATTTTTGTTCTCAATTTCTATTATTTGAGAAGAACCAAAAATTCTTGTTTGCCTCTCATTTCAGTAACTTCTGAAAATTTTCTTTTAAGGGAAGTGGATGGTTCTTTGGTAAAAGCTAATGGAATCATCTTATTTAGCATTGCACTTTAGGGAGAACTATTTTTTTAATTCTATTTTGTTCATGTTTTTGTTTCCTTTAGGCCTGTTCTTTGATTATTGGGCTTAATTACTCTCCCTGTCCACTATTAAACGCCTTGGTTTGAACTTTGATTTACCAGGACATTTTTTCTGAGAGTTGAAAATGTCGATTTTTGATGTAGCTTTTCTTCTTCATTCTGAAGACTAAAGATCCAAAGTCCTTGCAAATAAAATCAATGTGCTTAGTAAGGCATTTTGGTTAAGAAGATAACTATGTTAGAAAGATTTTATTATTTGTGGACATTCCGTTGATGAAATAAGGTCATTCTCCATGATATGCTGCATCAATTTGATGGAGCTTCCAAGTATAAAATGCCAAATTATGCTAGTGCTAATATTTAAATATTTTATTATGGTGGCAAATAGTAAAAACAAGATCAAAATTCTTCGATAGGATACTTCATTCTTTATGTTTGGTATATGGAAATAAGTCTCCTTTGTGCTATATGGATTTCATTGTCGTGTCACTTCTGTTTTTTCAATATAGCAGGTTGAATATAGTGATCATTTAGGTCAGGCAAGACTTGCATTGGCTGAAGCTCCAAAGGAAGCACTCCCCTCTTACTGTAGACCCAATTTCAGTGATGCTTGGTTAACCAAAAATAAATTCAAGGTAGGTAGTGATGCATAAAGCCTTAGATTTAATGATGGTCAAACACCAACTATATGTGATGAAAATTATAGAGTAAAAATAATTGAGATAGAAATGCAGTGACGAATATAGAATTTGTGCAACTGTTAGTGTCTTCTGCATTACCAAGTGAAAGACCATATTTAGGTTACAAATAACCAAAATAGGAAAATTCTCCACATACCTAGCACAATCAGTCCTATACAAAGAAAAGGAAATGAGAAAACATGAATTTGTCTAGAATCTGAAAATATTCTGTACTGGTTTTACTGTAAAAAGAAGCTAGTAAACAAGTAAAACTTCCAACAGTATGAATTAATATTTTATCTTCGAAATCCTTTTTTAACTGGTTTTGATCCAGAGGATGCCTATGGTACACTAGTCTAAATTACACTGTATTCTCTTTTATAAGCAGCACATATCTATATTTTTTGGCTTATTCAGGTGAATGAAACCTATGGATGCTGGTATACGTTGGGCATTCCTAAGGTGCACATAGACCAGGATGGTTTATTTAACTGTCATGCAAAAGATCCATCAACTGTTGAAATGCTTAGAAGATATTCTATTCTGTGAGTATAAAGCCATCAGTTTTCTTCTTTTTATGGTCTCTTCATGGCCACAAGTACATTTGGAAATTTGCATGCTGGTCTTCTTCTGCATTTCGGTGTTAGAATATCTTCAAAAGACTCTTTAAACATGAAATGCTCTTTGTTTTAAAGAGTCAACACTTACAATTATGCTAGAAGTGGCTCTTTAAATTAAATTAACGTTTTAATTTAGAGTGTGTTAGAGCCAAATTTATTCTCTATAATTAAATGCATTCAAAGTGTTTCAATTTTCAATGTAAGAAAATAATAAAATAATTTGGAGAAAAACTAGTTAAAATAAAAGATAGAGAAAAATAATAAATATTTTTTTAGAGTAGTAAAATTAAGTGTTAAATATAAAGAGTTTGTTGGAGTATTTCAAATTTTAAACTCTCTAAATTTGTAGATGCTGATAAAATATACTTTTTAAAAATATCAAATATCTTGGAGATGCACTTATACAACACATCATCATCATTATTATTTTTTTCTACTTCTGCTGGGAGCTCCGAGTTGCTCTTAAATTTGAGTTTATTCTCTCTTATTATTTTATTAGCCACTGGTTCAGTAGTTGAATTTTTCCCAGAAGAGGTGGTTTTGTATTCAATGGAACTCTGAAATATGATTTTTTAAATTTATTGGGAATGAGGTCTAGAGCATGTTTGGCTAAGCTTAAAAGTAAGTCAAATTTACTTTTTAGTTACTTATTTTAGCAAACATGATTTATAAAGTTATTTTTATGCTAACAAAACTTGACTTTCTAGAATAGTTCTAGAGAGAGAACTTTTAAGCTCAGACTTGTAGTGTGGTGTTGTACTTAGCCATCATATCAGATAATTCTTTTGAAGCTTTTAATTCTTGTATGCAGCAAGCCAGTATGCAGTGAGTGATCGCTGGAACTGATATGATTGATAAATAAATTTCGTTTATTATCTTCCCAAGCATACGTAAATCGTTAAGAAACGATCATCTCTTGAAATTCTGTTATGTTATATTCTCATTGTGTATTTTTAGTGTTTTCTGTGTTGTTCTTTATTATTATTATTATTATTATATATATATATATATATATATATATATATTTTTTTTTTTTTTTTTTTTTTTTTATTTTTTTTTTTAAACATAAGATGCTTTTATCATGACAGATTCACAAGGATATTGAAGACATGGCTTGCTGGTGAGGGATCCATCAGGATATGGAGATGGGACATAATAGCCGGACTTCTTACTGGTTTTTCGACTTCCTTGATATCCATCACCTTAGTTGGGCTTATACGGCCGTTGAAATCTTTTATAAGTCGAATCCACACTGTAAGAACGCTTCCTCTCCGTTCTAATACTGTCCTATTAAAGCGAGCTTTTTTGTTAGTAGTATACATCTCGTTTATGAGTTGGGTCACCATACAATACTTGAAACGACTTGGCCTTCCCTTGATGATATAGTTCACCATGTTAGGCAGCACACGTTTTTCTAACCGTGCTCTGTGTTGTACCAATATGAGTAGGCAACTTGTATAACTATTAAGTGATGATATATTTACTGAAATTGTATAAATTTTGGTACAATTGCATGTACTAGAAGTGGATCTCTTTTTATCCCCTTTTTGCACTCACTTTTTATTTAGCGATTAAAGTTATATATACAGAGCATATTTCACAGAAAACATACAGATTACTCGCATGTGGGCGGATCCATCTTTTTAAAAAATTATCCCAAAAACACCCACCCCACCCCTACTTGTGTGTCTCTGTAAAGGCCTGTAATTTTCTAGCTTGTACATGTAGTGTCTTTCTTATTTAGCCCCTGGTTTGACTTCCATTAAGGGCCTGTTTGGTAGAGATTATTACTCCACAAGAATTGATTTTTCAGTCACATCACAATGGTCCACTGTCAGGCAACAACGTGCATGGCCTTGTAAAAATTTGCCAAAGTGACCATTTTGTCCTGGAGTTCATTATTTAAATTTATTAGGAAATTTTCTAAATGACGTCAAAATTTTTATTAGATTATTTAAAAAATTAATTGATCGAGAGGAAAAAGTAACAGTAAGAAAGGGAGGCATGAATTCAGATGACCAAGAAGAAAAAAAATAAAGAAAATATGATACTTTAAAAAAAAACGTGAAAAAAAAAATTCCTTAAGGGGTTAAACACGTCTCCGTGACAATATTTGTCACGGAGACACAAGTTGTCTTTATTTTATTTTTTTTTCGTTTTTATTTATTTATTATTATTATTATTATTTTTAAGTATGAGATCAATTTTTTCCTTTTTTCTTAAGGGTATTGCACAAATTTTTTTTACACGATTTAAATCGTATCCTTAAGATATTGCACCAAAATTTGCCAAAATTTGTGTACGATTTAACATGTTTGTTTATCAATTTGTTTAACTTTAATGTCCTTGTATTATCGTAACTTGCCATGCTTGAACGTGGTTCCAAAATGCATTGTCTAATAAATAATTTTGTAGTTTGCCAATTCAAACAGTGGATGCAAAATTCACCATATTTCGAGCAAGTTAAATACCAAAATTCACCATAATTTGAGCAAATTTCACCATAAATTTATTTTTCACATTTTTCCAAACCATTTTTTTAACCATTTTATTTTTCAAAACTACTTTTCAACCACATATGAATACACGTTCACTGACTTTGAGCCAAAAAGTTGCGGAAACGATCCCATTCATTTCGTTGCGTTTCTGGAGCATTCAATTCAGCAGCGGCTTGCTCCTGCTCATCTGGAAGTTCCACCTCTGCCGCGTCCGGATCTGTCTCCATCCTTGTGAACGCTTCGTCGACAACTCCTGCCCGTCGAAGGAAGTTGTGTATACCCATCGTGGCTAGGACAACAGCAGTTTGCATTTTGAAATTATAACTGGGCATACAATCGAGTATTTTCCACCGAACTTTCCACACACCAAAGGCACGCTCGATAACGTTTCTGCAAGACGAATGCCTGAAATTAAATCTCTCACGTGCGTTGCGAAAGTTTGGTCTACGACCCGTCTCACCGTCGTAGAACTGCTGAAAATGATATAGTATATCAGAACCCTTGTATGGAGCCATGTACCCAGGTCTACGGGCGAATCCTGCGTCGACAAGATAAAATTTTCCCGGGGCAGGATGGGGAAAATCAATTTCAGGACTATGTATAGACCGAGCTAACATGCGTGAATCATGCGTTGTTCCCATCCACCCTGCATGCACAAATGTGAAACATAAATTAAAATCACATGCTGCCAGAACATTTTGTGTTGGAATGCCCTTGCGTCCGATGAAATTTACTTGTTCGTCCCGCGGCAAGATAGCTTGCACGTGCATTCTGTCAATTGCACCTATGCAATTCTTGAATAGCGGATGCTGGTTCAAATTTGGTACGTGATGCTCCGCACCGTGATTATAGTTTGGATCAGGTCTGATGAGGCATATAGCAAATTCACATGCGGCATCAAGCACAATTTTGAAATAGTGCCCAATAGTTTGCAAAGAATGATTGAACAAAGTTCGAACCTATCTGTAGCCCTTTCCATGGGCTAATATGCATAAAAACATTCCAACTTGTTCATACATATCAACTTGCTTGCCACTACGCAGTCCATATTCGTCACGGAGTATATGAGTGAACGTACGCAGCATGGCAGGATACATCCAGAATTCTGCATAACACTGTTCGGGATTACATTCCATGGCGTCTAGCATAAACATGTGTCCGTTCCTCGCGAAGGAAAATCTTCTAATTCGACGTCTCTGTTCGCGATAGTAAGTTGCCACATCTATAGAGGACATTCTGCAGTAGCGAAACCACTCGATGATGTCCTCTTCGAGCTCTTGCAGAAGTTCCTCCTCCCCGATCTCATCTTCACATTCAGAGGACGGCAGAAGCACACAGTTGAAATTGAAATTCGCCATTTTCACTTAGTAATTGCAAAAGAAGCACTGAAAAAAAAAACCCAAGCTACGTTCCTTGGAAGTTCGAGTTTTTGTGAGAATGGAAGGGATTGGTTGCACTTTCTCTTTAATAGACGTTGCTCCACAGATTACTGTCATTAGTACAAATTAAAATGGACATTGGCAGGAAGAAAAGCTCATGAAAAAAAAAAGATTCTTGACTCAATTGATGGTCAATGTACTAACAGTGGGTCATTGTTTGAATAGGACCCTTGGAATGAGTTAATGTTCAAGCACGTATAGTAATTGGCATGCAATGGCAACAGGTACATAATCTTTTGAAAGTGACATGAAATATTTCATTGCAGTTTTGGATTCGTGAGATCACTTAGTAGTAAAGTCCCATTTTTGTTCACATAGACATGCCGAAATGAAAATGAAAAAACAACACATTTAAAAATGTCCACATAAAACTGCTGTAAGGGGAAAATTTTCCGTGCCGCAGATTTCACTTCGGATGAGCCTTTCTGTGCTCCAGCCAGCTCCACTCGACCCAGTCCAGTTTGTCGTTCGCGTCTTCCTGCATTGCAAGTATCTCCCTATTACGCCTCAGTGACAGGAAGCTCAACGTCCAGAAGTACATATCAGTTTTCTTGTGCAGTCAGCCAGTCGACAACATCTCGTTCATGAGCGTCTGCACGTCAGGAACATTAGGACCCAGCAAATCGTTGATTGTAGCTGCTACCTTTTCATTGGCAGTGGAAGCACGGTTAACAGAGTCCGATACATCCGAGCCGGACATTTTTGCTCTCTTACCTTTTTTGCTATTGCCGCAAGACCTACGTTTATCCCCACTTTGTGGCCTCGACATGTCCGCACTGGATTCAGCCAATTCTGTTTTCTCACTCTCATCACTTGACCCGGTGCCTTCCTCGTCAAGCGATTGACTGTCGCGTAGGTCCTCGAGTCCACTATCTTCGAACATGGAGAAGCCTGTCCTGCACATTGTTGAGGGTGTGACTGCATACTTATCGTTGTCATATGCATCCCCGAATAGCACCTTGAGGCTGTACACCTCCCTACAGTCTTTGCCTTTGAATTCTTTGTAGTCCTTATTTTCCTGTTACACATGCAGAAGAAGTTGAACATCAGAATGCTTCAAAACAGCAATGGTTTCAACATAGCATAGAAACTTGTGTAGTCAAAATTTGAAAAATAAACTGTGTTGTGTATATCGAAAGTAATAGTCAGTAAGTCACCTTGAGTGTTGGAAGAAACAGAGCCCCATGCCTCAAAGCCATTCAATAGTCACTTGAAATTGAAATTACAAGTCTGAGGAGACAAATCAATAGTTTTTCATGTTTTTAGATGAGATGGTCATTTAAGCTTCTAGACAGATTTTCCAAGAAGTTGGTGATTTATAATAAAGAAACGTCATCCCATGTGTATACGGTCGGAATCTTAAGAATAAAACTGGCTATTTTCCTGACCTTATGAGGCGATCGATTCTCTTTTTTTCCCTCTTGAATATGCTATTTATCCCATATGGGGCCAATATATTTAGGATTTCTGACTGTAAACACAGCCTAATTACACAACATTTCTAGTGAAACTCACCTAATTACTCCAAAGTCTTGGATCTGGGCTACTGATATATATTGAACACAGACGACAATATTTACGAGGGCCAAACACGCATAAGGACAGCATAGCATGTCTCCTTCTTCAAAATCTAACAGTTTTACTTTTTTCGCACTATTTTCATGATTAAATTCCAATCATTGAACGTAAAAATTTAAGAAAATCCCTTGGCAAGTCTATGCAAAAAGAATGAATATCAGGATCCTGAGAACTATGAAGATGCTGGCTGGGGAGGGTCCATAGTGAATAGAAAATCAATAGTAGGACATTGCACGAGTTTCCCAGTTTGAAAGCAATTCAATTTGTAAAATGCAAAAAATGACCATATTAAGCAGTGTACCTTCATCTTTCTCTCCCACCAGTCGTCGAAAGCAGCAATATATCCCGTTTTGGAGATGTACTCCACTCCAGTACTGTAAATAAGCTCCATCAGACGTTTGTGTTTCGTTCGAAGACCATCCCAATTATTCTTCAGCTACTGCTTCGTCCAACAGTGACCGGAGTTCGAATTGAACAAACGGATGAGTTGGTCCCATCCGTGTTTCGTGAAGCACTTTCCGTTACGGTGACCGTCGGCTATCACCGTCTCGCACGCGGCAATGAAAATCCGGTTCTCACGTGGATTCCATTGGGCGTGCTTGCGTGTTGGTGGTACTGGTTGGGTCATGCTGGGAAAAGGGTTGGAGGTGGACGAATTTACGTTTCCACCCGTCTACGACAAGAAACGGCGAAGACGAGTTCGTTAAATAAGTTGGGTTCAGTTCAAAATTGTGTGTTCTGTAGGTGCAACAAAAAATTTGGAACTGAAAACACTTACTGAGGGGACATATGGGTCCATGTTGTGAGCTCACAAGCTGTATTCCGGCAAGCAGGTTCGTCGTCATCTACTGCCTAACACGAGTCCGTATTTGACGGGGAAAAAAACTCTCAGACAATAGGATTTGACGGGAAAAAAATTCCTTCTTTGTGCTGCCAAAGCGCTAATTGAAGGAAAAAAATATTTACGAGTAGATCTGGAAGTTCATCGTCGGGTGTTTGTAGGGAGAGAAATATCCGAAATGTGAG